CACAATAAACAGCAAAATATTTTCTTATCATTCATGACGTAAACAAATGCATCAGAAAGCTATATATTTGGGCCATATTAGCTGAGATGCTTGAAAAATTGCTTTCAGCTCATTAAAGAGCTAAAAAATAAGTTATCATTTTCTGTTTTAGAAAGATACCTCTGGAACTATTATACAGAATGGATTTAGAGGAGACATGATTAGAGATAATGAGGACTAAACAGACTGAAAATAATGAAAGGTGGTAAGGGCATGGCTTATGGACAGACACGTAGGAAAATGGACATTTGACAGCTGGTTAGATCTCAAGGGATGCTTTCAAGTTGTCGGTATGTGAAACCAGGTTTTTCCATAAAGTGAGATTCATATGAAAAAATAGGCACTTAGGACATTTTACTTTTTTGGTTGCTTGCTGTTTCTTTCATCTTTTAAGGAGAAATGATTGTTTTCAATTATTAAGGAGGAATGATTGTTAATAAGTTAAACCAGAAAGATAAAGACCACTACAGTATACTAACACATATATATGGAATTTAGAAAGATGGTAACGATAACCCTATATGCAAAACAGAAAAAGAGACTCAGATGTATAGAACAGACTTGTGGACTCTGTGGGAGAAGGCGAGGGTGGGATGTTTCAAGAGAACAGCATCGAAACATGTATATTATCTAGGGTGAAACAGATCACCAGCCCAGGTTGGGTGCATGAGACAAGTGCTTGGGCCTGGTGCACTGGGAAGACCCAGAGGGATCGGGTGGAGAGGGAGGTGGGAGGGGGGACTGGGATGGGGAATACATGTAAATCCATGGCTAATTCATTTCAATGTATGACAAAAACCACTGCAATGTTGTAAAGTAATTAGCCTCCAACTAATAAAAATGAATGGAAAAATAAAATAAAATAAAAGAGATGCAATCCGAGTCATGGCACCAAAAAATAAAATAAAATAAAAGAGATATGCAAAGATTGAAAAATCATGTTCATGTAGAACATGGGTACCTGTTGGATATATGAACCTGGAAGTTAAAAGAAAGGTATAATAACTGTGGAAGGTAAGATAAAGGTGTGGGCTGTGGTTATGATTTGGTTATGCTTAGTTAATTTACACCACATTTATTGAAAACTAATATGTATAGTAAGCCCTGTACAAACGGCCAAGAATAAATAATTTATTAAAATAAATGTGGTCATTGTTACCATGAATAGTGAAGGAGCTAGGACTTAAGCATGCAGTTATAAGCTGTAATAAAGAATTAAATGCAAAAGAGCAGAATACTATATATACTTATAAAATGATCTAATTTTTCAGGGGTCAGGGGAGCAAGTGTTCGGAAATTTCCTGAGGATTGGGTTTCCCTGATAGCTCAGCTGGTAAAGAATCTGCCTGCAAAGCAGGAGACCTGGGTTCAATCCTTGGGTTGGGAAGATCCCCTGGAGAAGGGAACGGCTACCCACTTCAGTAAGTATTCTGGCCTGGAGAATTCCATGGACAGTATAGTCCATGGAGTCGCAAAGAGTTGGACACGACTGAGCAGTTTTCACTTCACTTCACACTGGTATTTGTGCTGAGGATGGGCAGGTTTTATCTATTTAGAGATAATAAACAGTAGACAATGCATAGTGTAGCTGACATTCCTACAAGTATTTTCAGTAAAATCCTTAAAATGAGAATCACATAGTAATATCAAGAACAAAAAAATAATTTTAATTTTAAATGATTGTCTTTGGGGATAAATAAGAGCAAATGCTAGGTAAGCTGGACATACTCCAAACTTAGGCAAAGAATCTCAAAGAACAGAATGAACAGTGGCAGCTGTCAAGATTTAAGGAAGGAAGGTGATATTCTAAGACCTGTTTTAAAGGTCTGACAGAAGAGAAAAAGTTGCTGACTTGGACCTGAAATGGAGTCTTGGAGTATAACAGTATTCAATGGGTTCAATGGGAATCCCTTAGGAAAAATGAAAAATTGTCTGATTTGAAAATGTAGAGGCTGGAATCGTTCAGCTACAGGACAATAAATGGAAAGATAACCTGACTACAGAGAGCTGAAAATTAAACTGAAAGTGAGAACACACACTTGACAAGCAATGCTTTCAGTAAGCTTGAATGGAAAAAGAAGAAGAATGGGAATCTGAGGATGGGGGAACGGGCGACAGAATCTGGAGAGAGTCTTGCTTTTGCCTTTATGGTAAATTAAGTATATTAGGCATCATCAGAAACTTACGGGAAGCAGCTGAAAAAGAGAAGATGGCTTTGAAGAAGTAAGAGAAGAAAATAATAACTGATGGCTTAATATTGAAAAAGGAACAAGAGGAAAAGGAATCAAGAGATAAGGCAGAAGAATTAGTCTTGAGGAAGGTTCCAGAAGAATTTGGGAAGTTGAATAAATAGATACTTTCATATACAAAAAGGTATAAATAAGTGAAGTTGAATTATTTGGTCCTGCACTAAATTTTTAGATCGATAAAGTTTTGTTAACTAATTTCACACCCGAGGCAAAAAGTAATGCACAATCTTGTGCAAGATCACAGAGCAAGCTAGGCTTTGTCTTCTAATAGAGGGCTCAAACTTAGCTTGAATATGAAGCAAATGAATTTATTTATCTGTTTGTGAAAACTAACCTTAAAGATCATCAGAGCACAATCTATGTATAAACTGTATGTTAAATACATATTTCTTTTTTCAAACATGCAATATTAATATGAATCTCTGAGTGACTATCCTCATGAGACAAATTAATACTTGCCAGTTAACAAACCTTAAATAACTTTTTATATATGCTTCGGATTGACAGATCATTAAGTACATTTACTCATGTTTACTAACTCTCCAAAAATGAGGGCTTCCTCCAGTCTGGTTCAACTAAAAGGATCCCATTTTGGCCTATGGATAAAAGCTTTGTATTTCAGGAAAATTACTGTTTTCCACTTAATTAAATCTAAGGAAAACTAAAACAGAGTAAATTGCACTGTTTTTTTTTTTTTTTAGGCAGATGTGCTAGTTTGAGGCTTTCCACTACACATCTTTTTAGCTGTAAGAACCTGGTTATTTCCAATAGGAAGAAACCTCCCAAAATGTATCTGAATCATGAAAATGGATGAGTACCCCCATTAAATCTACCACTGTAAAGTATTAAAAGATTTTCCATGCAGGCAAAGAAGTCTTGTCATTGGTATTACACTGCCAGATTTGATAGCAAAAATCAATTTATTCTTTTATTCAACAAAACTTTCTGCAGTGCCTACTAATTGCCTGACACTGTGTTTGGCACTCTAGCTATGGAAAAGTGGTCAACAACAAGCAAGGAGCCTGATGTCAGGTTCCCTTTAACTTAACCACTGAATTTTAAACACTTAGAACTGAGATAATACAAAATTTGTTAGTTGTTTTCCTGTAAATTAGGTTGGAGCATAAATGATTTCAACCAAGATTTATCTGCACTACATGTGATCTGATATGTGGATAGACTTAAATCTAGTATTTGTCTCTGTCAGGGTACTGCTTTTAGAATGTATTATCAGGAATCTGGGTTTTTTTGCATTTATAGGTACTTGCATTTTCCAAGTTCAGTGGTTAAGAAGGCATATTATTTGATATGCCAAATCACAATGTCAATTTGATTGGCACCTCAATGCATTAAAATTAAAATATCAATATATTTTTACTTGGATTTATATCAAAAACCACTAATTATCTTTTGTGATGTATTTGCAAAGTATTTTATCTTCAAAAAATGTTAGTATGAAAGTGCATGTGTAACTTATATAACTTAAAAGAAGTAACTGCATAGATAGCAATGAAAAAGCAGTATACTACATAGTATACTATATGGGGAATGAAAACAAATCAACAATAAAATGTGATGGGAATGCTGAAATAACCTAAAAGTTAAGCATAGAAAATTAATCAGATTTTATTTAATATTTACTCATTGACTATTAGTATACAGAATATAGTTTATAAAATGAAATAAATCAGCACTTGTTAAAACTTTTACAGTTTACAAAGTTAAGGGAAAAGACTACAATATCAATGTCAATATCATCATATAAAATAGAAAAAAAATTATATTAAAATAAATGAAAAGGAAAATCAGCAAGTATGCTGTTCCAAACTTAATGGAAGGGTACTCAGGTAGCTACTTTGTAGAAAAGAAACCCTCCAAGTAGAGCTTTTTATTATTATTGAGAAAACTTTACATCATTGTGATGTATACAAAAGCTCCTCTTAGGCAGACTGAGAAAGAAAAGGCCTATTTATCAATGCACAAAACTCAGGCTTCCTTCAGTACCTGAAACCGGAAAATAGACATCAATAATTCCCAAAGAAGTTAATCTTAAAGATAAATAATTTTTCTCTTGTGGAGTAAATGAGCAACTGACAATGCCCAGGCATTTCTACCTACTTACCTATTCCAAACAGCATGGGAGCGATTCCAATCCTGTTAGTTCTTTTACATCCAAGCAACAGAGAAAGTACCCCCATCTCTGAAGAGCGCTCAGCCCACTGATGGGGCCTGAGAGTCTATAATTGGGAAAAATTAACGCCCACTTTTCTTTTCCAAATCTTTTTACTGGAAAGCGGTGTGGTTAAAGGCATGAGCTTAATGGTCAAGCAGATCTGGGTTTAAGTAAACATTAACTTGTGTGAACTTGGGCAAGTAAATAACTTCACTAAGCTATACCTTCTTCATAAAAAAAGAGAGAGAGAGAATTAAAAAGAGATCCCAGTTATAAAGTGGTGGAGATTGTATGAGAGACCATATGTAGAAAACTTGGCAAGTACTGGACACAGTGTCAGAGCTCAACTGATGCTCGGAAGTGGTTTTAACAGAAGTAATGACACCAGTGCTCCTAAAGGGTTTCAGGCAAGCGCACGCTTTAAAAGAAAGCTTTATGTTTGGATGCTCTTCATGTCCGATTTGAGGAACAGTATCTGTTACAAGCTAAGCGGGTTGAGGGAGCCGCTGAATCACAGTTAGAAGGAAGTTCTCACTTACCTTGTCGTTGACGACACTCTTTCCATCCCAAGCCCATCCTCTTTTGGTGAAGTAATTAACAGTGGCAAATTCAATGAGGGCAGAGAACACAAAGGCGTAGCAAACAGCAATAAACCAGTCCATGGCAGTCGCATAAGCCACTTTGGGGAGAGAATTCCGCGCACTGATGCTCAGAGTCGTCATTGTTAGAACAGTTGTTACTCCTGCAAAACGACAGGAAGCAAAATCATCAACAAATAGCAGCACGAAGGCACTGGAAATATTTTTTCTCAAAAGGTACTTTCACCGCCACCTTTAGCCACTGGAAAAGCAACAGCCAAAAATCTTCCGAAAGAAAATCGTGCAGAGTTAATTATCATAAACGGTTCTTATGTTTTTTTAAGTGATGACTCTGAAATGCTTTGCTTTTTCATCTTTGTTTGTATGAATCTCCTTTTCCTCTTAAGTACCATTGAGGTTAGAAAGACTGGTGAAACTGAAGTAGAATTTCCGATAAGGAACGCAGGTACTTGAAATTGACCCATTTCCCATTAACATTAATTTTAAAAATCCTTCACAAAGCTTCACGTTAATTTATTCATCATTTATTTGACTCATTCTAAGAAATGGGCCAGTCATCCACACTAGTGACCACAACAGAACTATGATTAAGTTCTTCATTCTAAGTATAGCTAGGCTAAGTATGAAATTAATTCAAGACTGGCTAGTATTGTGAAGATGGAATTTCCTTAATAATGAGGCTTAGAATCTACAGAAAAATAAAACAAGCAACTAAATGCTATACCTTATAAAATATTAATCACTAATTTTAAGGAGTAGTTTATACCTCCATTGGTTTAACGAATGTCGTTCGGGGAAATAACAATGGTTAAGTAAAAAGAAAGCAATAACTCAGAAGACAGTCACAACATCAGCAATCAAAATGTCTACAGTTCCCTGCTTTATCAGAGATTCAAGAGAGGATTAGTTATGTACAAGCATGCATGCATGATCAGTCTCTTCATTCGTGTCTGGCTCCCTGTGACCTCATGGACTATAGCCTGCAAGGCTCCTCTGTCCACGGGATCGTCCAGGCTAGAATACTGGAGCGGGCTGCCATGCCCTCCTCCAGGGCATCTTTCCAACTCAGAGATCAACCCCATGTGTCTTAGGTCTCCTGCACCGACAGGAGGGTTCTTGATGCCACCTGGGAAACCCAATTACGTACACACAGGACATATTAAATTAAAAGAATCAAAAGGCTGGAGAAATGTTCATTCATATAATGAAATTCTTTTATATTTTATTTTTTACTTTCCCTTAGGATAAATAAAGCAGCTTTTTTTCTCAGTTACCATAGAGTTGGCAATTCAAAATAGCAGTAATTCTATTTAATTATGAATGAATGACTGTGGGAATAAGATGGTAGTAGTAGGAATGAAAGTTAGAAAGATAAATTTAGCTAAAAATAAATTTAGCTCACTTGCTTCTGAGTCAATACTATAAAACACATTTAAGAAATATATTGGGTTAACTTGTATCAAACTGTGAGAGATTTTAGATGGTGTTTCCTTTTGAGAATTTGGTACAGTACAATAATTAAATAGAATACAAGACAGTATGGACCCACACATACAAACAACAACCTATCCCCCCATGTACACACACATACATAAATGCAATTGACATGAAGATAAATTTAACTTCATCAGCAGTCAAGGAAAAAAAGCAATAATGAGATGCTTTTAAAAATAGTATTGTCAGCAAAATGTTAGGAAAACTTTGAAAGACTGATATTATCCTGGCATTGAAGATGATATAGATCAATGAAATTCTCTTTAGGGATTACAAACTGGTATACTACACCTAAGAAATTGTTGCCTAATCTGAGGTCATAAAGATTTAAGCCTATATTTTCTTGTGATTTTATAGTTTTAGATCTTACATTTAGGTCTTTCATCCTTTCTGTGGTGATTTTTGTATATGGTAGATGTCCAGATCTGTTCTTCTGCATATGGATAGTCAGTGATCCCAACACCCTTTGTTGAAAAGACTTTTCTTTCCCCATTAAATGATCTTACCACTGTTGATGAAATCAACTGATCAAAGATGGGTCTACTTCCAGACTTTCAATTCTTCTTTTTTTCAAACTTGAAACTTTTTATTTTATACTGGGGTATATCCAGCCAGTCCATTCTAAAGGAAATCAGTCCTCAATATTCACTGGAAGGACTGATGCTGAAGCTGAAACTCCAATACTTTGGCCACCTGATGCAAAGAGCTGACTCATTTGAAAAGATCCTGATGCTAGGAAAGATTGAAGGCGGGAGGAGAAGGGGACGATAGAGGATGAGATGGTTGGATGGCATCACCAACTCAATGGACATAAGTTTGACTACATTCCAGGAGTTGATGATGGACAGAGAAGCCTGGCGTGCTGCAGTCCATGGGGTCACAGAGAGTCAGACACGACTGAGTGACTGAATTGAACTGAACTGAACTGAACTGACAGCCGATTTACAGTGTTGTGGTAGTCTGGTGAACACTGAAGTGATTCAGCCATATGTATACTGGACTTTCACTTCTATTCTGTTCATCTACATGTCCATCCTTATACAAAATTCACAATTTTGATAACATAGCTTTAGGGTAAGTGTTGAAATTGGGAAGCATGGGTCCTCCAAATTTCTTCTTCCTTTTCAAGATTATTTTAGCTATTCAGAGTCCCTTACACTTCCCAATGATTTCATGGCCAGTTTGCTCATTTTTTCAAAAAATATCCTTGGAGTTTTGGTAGATATTGCATTAAATTCCTTGTTTGGGGAAATATTGCCATATTAACTACAATAAACCTTCCAATCCCCAAATGTGATATATCTATCCATTTTAATTGGACATACATGTCATCTTCACTTATTTAGAACTTCAATTCCTTTCAGCAACATTTTGTCATTTTCAATTTATAAGTTTTTCACCTTTAAACTTAAAATTTATTTATAGGCATTTTATTCTTTGGGCTGTTATGTAAATAGAAATACATTTATTTCCATTTTAGAGTATTCATTGCTAGTGTATAGAAACAAAGCTGATTTTTTTGTGTATTAACGTCCCACCTGACATTTTCCTGACTATATTATCTCAAATAGTTTTTCTGTGGTTTTATTAAAAGTTTTCTATATATAAGAATAGTGACCACATATAGAGTTTTATTTCTTCCTTTCCAAATTGGATGCCTTTTATTTGTTTTTCTTGCCTAATTTCCCTGGCTTATGCCTGTAGTATGATGTTGAATAGAACTGATGAATACAGACATCATTATCTTGTTCCTGATGTTAGAACTAGTTTTAATCTTTCACCTCCAAATATCCTCTTTATTGGGTTAAAGAGGTCCTTTTCAAGGGCTAGTTCACTGACTTTTTTAATCATGAAACGATGTTTTATGTTTTTCAGAGTCTATTGAGATGATGGTGTGTTTTCTTTTTTTCCATATTCCATAAATCTATTTGGGATTATTACATTGACTGATTTTTGTGTGTTTAACCAGCCTTACTTTCCTGAGATAAATTACACTTGGTCACAAGTATGCAATCCTTTCTATATGTGGCCAGTTTCAGTTTGTTAGTTTCCTGTTGAGAACATTTGAATCTATATTCATAAGAGGGATTGATCTGCAGGGAATTTTTTCCTCTTGTGATTTGTCTGGATTATTGAGCTTCTTGAATGAGTTGATTTGTGTTTTTCATTAAAGCTGAAAAATTCTGACCACTATTTTTCAAATCTTTTAATCCCTTTGCCCCTCTCCTCTCCTTCCAAGACTGCCACTGTTCGCCGCTGTACATGTATTGACATGCTTATGCCACACGTGTCTTAGGCACTGATTACTTTTCCTCATTTTTTTTTTTTACTCCCTGTTTCCCATACTTAAGAATCTTAACTGACTTCTCTCTGAGTTCACTGATTCTTTCTTCTGATTGCATAAATCCACTATTAAGCTCCTCTAGTAAATTTTTCTTTTCAATAATGGTACTTTTGAATTGCTGGATTTCTACCTGTTTACTTTTTATAATTTCTATTGATGTGATATTCTATGTTTGATGAGGCATCATTAGTACACTTTCATTCTTTAGACATGGTTTCCTTTAGCTGTTCTAGTTTATCTAATGTAGCTTATTTAAAGTCTTTATTTATTGCAACACTTGGGCTTCCTTAGGTACAGTTTCTAATGAATCCTTTTATTTTTGTAAATGGTATATACTTTTTAAATTTGCAGACCTTATATTTTTGTTGTAAACTGAACATTTTGAATACTGTAATGAAGTAATTCTGGAAATTATATTCTTGCCCTTTCCAGGGTCTTTTTCAATTGTGACTTGTTGTATTTATGGACTCTGCTTGTATAGTGACTTTTCTTAACTAATTCTGTAAATTCTGTATTCTCTTCATTTGGGACCACTGAAGTCTCTGTTTTCTTAGCCTAATGGCCATCTAATGATTGGGAAGATTTTCTGAAACCCTGGAAAGCATAAATTTCTCTGTCTTTGCCAGGTGATTCTGTACGTAGGTTGGGGTATGTCTTCAACATTCAGCCACGCAGTTGCCAACTCTGCCTTAGCATCCACTTTCTGCTTGTATAGAGGCTCGAGGTCAATGAGAGGGGAGTGCTGTGGGCTTTCTCAGTCATTTTTGGGTATTCACATAACTGTGTATCCATGTGGCCTTCTAGATTCTAAGAAATACGTTAGTGTTTTTCAAATCACTTATGTGCAATTGATTCCCCAGCTTTTCCTCTTAAATCTTTTTGGTTAACCCATTGTTTGATCCAAAAGTTATCCATTGCCTCTGGTAGAGGCAGCTAAAATATTTGTCTGTAAATGCTTTCAGTGTGGATATGAGACTAGGGTATAAGTCGCAGTACCACAAAGATTACTATTCTTACCAATACCAAGATTCTACAATTTTTCTCAAATAAGTGTACTCAGGGTTGCAAACTGTTGGCTGATTTCTAAAGTTCTGATATTTGTAAAAGTTTTACCAGTTTCTCATTGCTTTTATGAAGATGTGGGATTTTAGTATTTCTTACTCCACCATTTTTGTTGATATCACTTCAAACAATTTGAATGGGTCTCCCCTGAGACCTAGGAATTATTTTCCTAGATGAGCCAGGGCAGGATGAAATACTGGATACCTGTGTAGTTCTGTCCTCAGAAGGCCTTACAGTCAGATT